ACGTACCCTCGACTTCCATCGTACCAACTTTAAGAACACACGACCTCTATAAGAACCACAATACAAACACAACACGCAATCGCTGATTTAATATCTACATAGGTAATATACAGAAAACACCTTGGAGATGCATTTTCGAGATGCACATGCATTACCTACCTAAAAAACTACCCTGATCTGAGCACATACCTACTCAAAAATACTGTCAACCAGGCAAGCTTAAATAATCTTAAAAATTGGTCTATGCGTGTGGCTTCTATTTTTGTCCTACGGTTAAAATTACCGTTCCTTGATAAATTCTAATACCCAAGCAATCTTGAAATTAATGGCAATTTACTCTACGAAAAATATAACCATATACCCATGACTTTACTGAACTTCGTTGTAAGGCACCTTACTTCCACAACAAGTCCGCAATCCTCCCTTGCTGAAGCCAAATCATGACTGACATTAAGCAATACAAGCAATTCCTGAACTGTCCTTAAAAAGTTGTTAAAAAAAACAACTCCCAACTTGCGCCTCGGGCAAATAACAAAAAACACAGACAACGCGTTAAAAATTAAAAAAACATACCATTCATGTGGTCACCCGTGCAGCCCACACACATGCAAATTATAGCAGAATTAACAATCTAATAAACCCTGAAAGAAAAATTATTTTCGTTATCTGCACAACAAAAACCAATTCATCCCTCTCGATAACCCCTCTTGACAAGGGTATCTTTGCATGTATCTGATCCGGAACACGAAATTTTCACAACCTTTCGTAAACAAACCGTACTTTAACACTCCAACCCGTGCCACTATAGATGCATCATTCCTTGCCCGATGACTATCCCTATAGAACCTCCCGATAGGCATAGTCGTACCAAAAGGCAACGTGCAAATGAAACTTACATCCTATAAACGTATATTTTCCCTCCCAACCTATGATATCCCCATGATAGCGCGAGTCAAAACCCAACAAAAAAAGCTATACCTCTCCCTTCCTAGTATAAACCAAAAAAACTACAACCACCCTCACCACAAGTAACTATCCGCTATACGCATCACGCCACGCATATAGCTACGCTCACGCAACAGTGCCTCGAGAATTGACTCCCACTCAACAAAGTCGATCTGCTTATCTTCGCATTCCTGCAGCAGATCACTTGTCACGAGCTCCACCAGCGCTGCGAACACATCTCCACCTCCACTGGGTGCTTCATCCGGTACTACATCAGACGTCTTGGTCACAAAAACTGTCACTTCGCATAATAATCCCTCCATGTAACCCAGACCCACGTACAACTTTAAAGCCAATTGCCCGTCCGCCGTTATACGATAATGACAAACAGACTCACTAGTAACCCGCAACCTGAATTTGAAATCCTTGCCATCACCAAGCCCGCGACGATGGCGCAACTCCTGCACCTGAACCGCCTTTCCATGAACGTCCCCCACACAAGTTATCACAATATCCATAACTAAACCCCCACGCACGCAAACATGTAACCTCCGCGATGGGACCTCGACCACAGACCACAATCCACAGTGCTCGCTGCCCTTAGTGATCGTTCTGCCCTTACACCCCTACAATACGATCCTTGCTAACCCCAAACTTTTTTTCTCTCTATCCCCCTGCCCCCTTCTTCTGTTGCCCCTCCCCCTTTCTCCCCCCACCTTCTACCCTTCTTATACACGTAAC